TGGGGGTCACGAGGACGGAGCCAGACTCTTCTCAGTGGTGCCCAGCGCCAGGACAAGGGGCCATGGGCACAAACTGAAGCAGAAGAGGTTCCAGTTGAATATGAGGAAAAAATTCTTTACTTTGAGGCTGCCTGAGCCCTGGCCCAGGCTGCCCAGGGGGGCTGTGGAGTCTCCTTCTCTGGAGATATTCAACCCCCGCCTGGACGATGTCCTGTGTAACATGCTCTAGCAGAACCTGCTTGAGCAGGGGGGTTGGACTGGGTGATCTCCCGAGGTCCCTTCCAACCCTTGCCATTCTGTGATTCTGTTCTACTGGGCTTCCTGATCAACCTCACAGAGCGTGGAGCCCAAGCCATGCCGGTACCCTGGCCCAGGTGAGGGCTGTCCCCTGCCACCCGGCAAACCAGAGCCTGAGTGGCCCCAAATCTCCTCTCACCTCGGCAGAGCGAGATGGTGTTACAGAAAGCACGTCCCGGGGCTCCCCGGAGGAGGACAGCGCCGCGTCTCCACCGCGCTCCTCTCGCCCACCCATCGCACTTGCAGGCGATGACAAGACGTGGTCACTCAACAAGTGGTGAAAAGGCAGAAAGGAGCAGTTCTGCTTCCCGCAGCATTAAATACGGAGATGGATGATGACAGAGCAGCAGATTCCTGGCTGCCGGCTCCTATGGCAGCTTAAGTGGATGAGTCTTCAAAAGAAGAGCAAGACGTTATTGCTTTATTGAGGGAGATGACTGACGCAGCTCCCAGGACGTCTCCATCAAGAGCAGCTTCTCCCATTAGGGGACGAGTAATCTGCAACAGCCCATTAGAAGAGCTCCACCCCGTCGCCGCCCGAGCGGTCTCTGGTCCCCAGGCACCAGCCCGATGAAGTCTTCTGCTTCCCGCAAGCATCACGCAGAGCCTTCAGCAGCCTCCTCGGAGGCCGCCGGGGGTTTTACACGCTGTCCGCAGGGGTGGCTCTGGGCCAGCTAAAACCAAACCGAACCGCACGCAGAGGCTCCCCCGGACGAGCGGCATGGCTCTGCGGTTTAAGCCAGCTGAGGAAGACTTTTGTAGAGCAAAGCCCCACGGTGCAAGATCAGCAGCTCTGCAGATGCTCCTGGTTCCCTAAGCCCGGTTTCCCTAAGCCCGGTACCAGCACCCACGTAGCTCCAGGCTGGACCCAGCAATCTCCCTGCTCTCCGATGCCCAGGCAAGGGCGAGAACAGCATCAAGGGCAGCCCCAAATACCCTCTTTTTCTGCTGAAAGGGAACACCAGCATCGCAGCCAGCGGAGAAGAGAGGGAAAACCGCCCTCTCATCTGAATTCAGCAGTTCAACTTTGTGTTTTGATCTCCGGGGGAAAAAAAAGCAGCGAGCAGTTGAGCAGTCTCATAGCTCTTTAAGCTCAAAAGCCATCAGAAGGCTTTTCCAGAGATAAGCGCTTCCTAAATACTCACTGCTGAAAGATTAAGAGAACGAACGTCTGATCCTGTTTCCCTGCCCAAAGCGGCCACGCTAACAGGACTGCCCCGGCCCTGCCACGCCACCGCAGGAGGATCAAACCACCGCTCCTCTCCCATCCCTGCGATGGATCATCTTCTCCTCCTCCGACTCCGGGTGTGGGACGGGGATCCCCACACGGCAGCAGCCCGGGGGGGTTCGGCAGGGGAGGGGCGGCTCCGGCAGCAATTTCGCTCTGTTGTCCCCATCAGCAGCTTTGGCAGGC